AGAGTCCTCCATCACAAACCAAGTAAAACCGAATAAATTCCCCTTACCCTTGACTACCTCATCCATTACTCACTCATCCGTGCACTACAGTAAATCTCATGCAAGGGTTCAACTCCGAATTATTAGAATTTCTTTCCCCTTCGTTCACCCTGCACTGCTCGAGTTCTACTACTCCCGTAATTCGTTCAGCTTTGCAGATTCTTTGCATGTTGCAGGAAACTAAGTACTTAAGTCTCTTAACTAAAACCCTACTGATCAACGGATTGGTGGGTTGTTTGGAATTTTTTTTTCTATTTTATTTCATTCAATTTTTTGCTTTCTCATTTTTTCGATGGAATTATTGTTATTATTATTACTCAGGATTGATTGAATGGAATGTGCAGCAAGATTTTGGTGGTTAATAGTTAGTTAAGTATCGCCTCGCTTAAGTATTATTTACATAATTGATTTGATTTATATCTTGTGTTTGGAGTGGTGGCTTAAAAGTTGGGACATAGTTGTTGGTACAGTAAGTTGTGGACACATTCACGGTATTGTGGTTAAGTGAGTATTCGTGGCATTTACCTATTTCCCAAGGTAAACAGTCCTTACCGGTTGGGCGGTGCAAGTTGCGGGTGTGTGGGCTTTAGGCAGAATGCGTGTGCTTTGATTGTAGGATGGGTTTGGTTGATTGTGGCTGTGATATGTGGCTTGTAATCTATTATGGAGATTAGGTGGCTTTTAGAGAGTGGCTGGCGTGCTCTCACTCCTTGTTTTGCCAGTCCAAATGTTTATTGAGGAGGAAGTGGTGGTGGGCTTATCTGGGCTTAGCCCGTGTCTTTGATAGGAGTTTAAAGTAATTTCGATTTCAAGCAAGGAGAGACAGACAGGCATGAGGGTCTGGTGCACGTTATGCTGGGTTGGTGGTGGTTACCTAGTTACTTAGTCGTGACAGGTTCTTCAGGCACTGTAATCAGATTCAGTGTGTGACATGATGATGATGGTTGCAATCATGCTAGTGGGCAGTATAATTTAATGTAGCCAGATATATACTGGTATATGATTTAGATCCAGTAGTGTGTGAAGTGTATATAGCATATCGCTCGCTGTGCTTCTGTCTCACTTTTGATTGTATAATGTTCTACGGACTCGATGACACGTTGGACTCGGGCATAACTCTCACTCCACAATAAGACAAGGGACACTGCGGAATCATGATTTGTTTCCTTTCTGAATATCTATATTATTGAATTGGGCATCATGATTATAGCATTAAGCATCAGTGAAATCTTATCAGCTGATAAAATAGACATTCCTCCTTATTCAGTCGTCTGCTCAAGCAGTGCAGAAAAGTGAGTACAGGGATGGAATCATACCTTTCACACTTGGAAAATATGAGTGTCCCCCTCAAATTGTTTGATAAAGAGTAATCTCATTAGGGTCTTGCCTACAAGAAAAAGGATCTCTAGAACACTTTGTGAAACACTATATAGAATGTCACACTGGTACATGACGGACTGCCTAAATGTTGAACACTACTAGCTCTATTCCTGCTCTACAGAAAGGAACTTTACGCAACATGGATATGTTCTTGATTGCCCACCTTCATGGTCCTTGTGTCCTTATTTGTACAATTGACTTCAATATATGCTCCGCTCCGCGTCTGTTCAAACTCTGTTGTTGTGTACCTCAATCAATTGAGTATGAATGGAGCTCAAATACGCTTTGTGACATGGGCTAGTGCGAAGGAGTCTATTTCCGAGATATGAAAACAGTACCTTGTACTCGGAGTGTCACAGGCCAAGGAGCAGAGCTTTTGATTGGCAGTGGTGGAATATAAAGTTTTAGAAGAGTCTCTACTCGTCTCTTTGTCCAGGGGTACTGTTGTCTGGGGCTATGATTTGCATTATATTTTCGCTATCTTTGTCGCTGCTATGGTAACAGGCGTTTCTCAAATGCCACAGTAATCTGAATCATCATCAGCTTTGATCCGCGCATGTTGAGCAAATTCAACTTCACAATCGAGTGCTCGACTTATATAAATAGCGGAAAGGAACCGTGATACTTGGCCCTCATAGCAATATCAGGAGCGTCGAGGAGTTCCGTACGACTTCGTTGACATTATTTTCTCTGACATACTCATATTGGGTGTTCAAAATTCCCACAGGAGATAGAGACACATGGCTGAATTCTCGTTGATTTTTCTGCGTATGACTGGTTGGGGTAGACTATCAGCTATGGAAGCGTGGATGTTTCATTATGTGCGCGCTTATGAGAACCGCGAGGTATTTCTTTGACTAAGATGTATGAGACAGTCCATGCTACTACCCTAAATAATAAACTACATTGTATCAATATATATTGTATTATCCATGCAGAATGCAGTCTGTGACGTCTCGCAATGCTAGTAAGTATGTCTTATATGCCGGTACTTAGCAATAACAGACGGCATATAATTATACATGTACCGAAGAGCCTCGTCATGTCTCGAACCCGGTCCTCAAGGCCATACTATCTCAATAACTCGAAGACTTAGCAGTTATAGACATTGATCTGACTGCAAAGCAAAATTATATTCTCACAATGGACTAATTTGGGGCATATTCCGAGTCTGACTTGATAATGAAAGTATGATAAGTAATTTATCACTAATTGGGCTTCGTTTGAAGTCATCCGTAAGCGCATCGCCCTAGATACCATTGGTTTCTTTCAAGGCTTGTTTCACTGAATAGTCGTTGTCCGTTGCTGATGGCCATTGTTATCTGCACAGTACCGTCAGTTTGACTTATATCAAAAGAGCAAACCTCTCGATGCTCTCGCATAATCTTTGGTATAACGAAGTCATTGTTTGTTAAGAGGTGGGGTTGATGACCACTTTCTAGGGATTATAACGACTGATAGCCAGCAGCTGTGGTATTTGACGGAACATGGCTTTAGCTGTGTTTGGCTTGGAGTAACAATGTCCTGAAGATCTGTGTATATATTGCAACAACATTACTACCAACTGAGTTGCAAAGTTTGCATCCCACAAAATATGAATCCGTATAAGCACACCACAAAGACTGCAAGACTGAATAACCAGATCGTATATTACTTCTGTCAGGAGCGTCCTAAACCTAACTATCATATATAACACCACTTTATATCATCCTCCACCATAAGCAATCACACACATCACCCAAAGATCCAATATCAAATAACCAACGGAGGTATCCTAGAGATGTTAATAGCTTCATCTCATCAATATATAAACTCATTTTCTCATGACCATGACCGTCCATGCGTTTCTTCAATCACTAATCCTTCTATCTCAAACCACACCCAAGTACCCCATACCCATGGCCAACATCACCGCCACAGACGAGAGCCCGGGAACGCTCACCCCAGCAGCTCCATTAACATCACCAGTAGAAGAGGCAGCAGCAGCAGAACCACCGGTCGAAGCCGCAGAGCCAATACCAGTAGCCCCGGCACCAGAGCCAGCAGCGGTAGCAGTAGCACTCGTGCTGTTCACAGACTGAAGGGCAGAAGTAGCGGCCGCTGCATTCCAGGTTGTCGTGGACAGAGAGCAGGAGGTGAGAATGTCGTAGGCGTCTGTTATAGTTAGCATATAACTCTTCATTTCTATACGAAACATGTATGAAAATGGCAAACCTACCATTATCATGCGCATCATGGTCGTCGTCATGGTCATGCTCTTTGCGATAATTGGCAATACAGGCCTCGCACAATGGCAGAAGAGTAGGTGCCTCGACCCAGTTGCAGATGCAGTTGAGCTCGGCGCGATCGTTGTCGTTGTACCGGTGGTCGCAGCCCTGGGTTATGCCTACGACGGGACCGCAGACGGACCAGCACCGGTCGGGGACATCGTCAGAGTCGAGGTCGTTGTCGGCGCGGACGAGAGGAGTAAAGAGGAGGGTGGTGGTGATGATGGAGAGGAGGGCTGGGATGAGGTGGAAGTGCATTCTCGATTGCTTTTGCTTTCGCTTTTGCTGCTGTTTGTGGTGTTGTTCCTGTGGTGGTGATTGGGAAGCTTTAGAGACAAGGCCGCGTTAAGTAATAGTGATAATTGAAGTGTGATGATGGTTTGTTCTCGAAGGAATTGATGTTGATGATGATATATCGATGTTGGATGGATATTGCTTCTTATTTATACCTTGTTTCTCTGTATACCACTACCTACTTTGTTTCTATATTTGTTTTTTCTGTACTACTAGTCGGGGTAGGTGACATGCTGCTAGGAGAAAAATCATATGCACGACAACTTATCAATGCAATATCGGAAACAACTGTCCTCCCTACATTGTTGAGGTCTTCCCACCCCCAGCTTGCCTGATTCGGCACGAGAGATAGGTGGAAGTAAGGATCAGTAGCTCGGGTATATGCACTTCGGTCATGCCAAGCTGCGGGAGGACCCTGATCATCTCTGATAACACCAATCTGGGAGATGAGAACGAAGTTGCCTGGAAGTTAGTCTGAATTTGGTGTTGCTGGATGGCTGTATAGTTTGATAGTGTCAGGGCACCGCCACGGTGGGGTAGCCCGATATGCCGTTGCAGTTGGAGTCCCTGGGTGTGGGTCGCGATAGTTCAATAGTAGGCGAGTTGTGGAGTGGGTTGATTGATTGATCGGAATGATTCCCGGGGTTACATGGAATGTTGTTGGGGGCTGCTGGTGTAGTGCTGTTTTTGCATAGAGTCAAGGGGAGGTTTCTACTGCAGTCAAGTATGGGATAAAGGTATGATGTCATCTGTGACACTGTCACTCGGGGCTCTTCTGGAACCAACAAGGAACTCATCTGCCGGAGTTATCCATCAGCTGGCATGACACTGCATGGAAATTTGTCTCGAATGAAATGGTTCAATGCTCAAATTTGGGGAAAGCCCAGGTACACAGTACAAGCTATTCCTTCTCCACCCGCGGGTGAAGTTCTAGCATCGGATGATGGATGCACTGCCTCCCCGCTATATTTAGTTCCTGCACAGGTTATAGAAACATCACACCTGCATCTGCCACTTAAAGCTCGGATAATGATGCTGCCTGTGTGCGAATGTGAGGGACCGGAACAAAGCTGTTACCACTAGTCAATCTTTGCTGCAGGCCACCGCTTCATACACACTCCCAGATACCTATGTCTGCAAAATCTTGTCGATATCAGCACAGTAGGTCCCAGGAGTTAGGTCATCATGAAGTCAGGTGCTCGCACTTTGGATGACCCGATCAGAGTTAACCGCTACTTTCTTCCTGCAGCCGCTCATCCGCAGGCATCATGACAAGGCATCTCGGCTACAACCCTGCATATCATTCAATCCATTGAATTGATCGACCTCACTATGGCTCGCGCTGCAATGACCAAACTCTCCTGGGAGAGTCACGTCCTCCGTCCCGTGCAAAACGCACCTCCCGCCATCATTCCCACATTAATTTACGGTACCGCTTGGAAGAAAGACCAGACCGCCGATTTGGTACACCAGGCGCTCGGGGCTGGTTTCCGCGCCGTGGACACTGCTGCCCAACCCAAACATTATCGCGAGGACTTGGTCGGGGAAGGCATACGCAGGACCCTCCAGGATGGCTACGTCCGACGAGAAGATCTTCATGTCAGTGGTCAATCCACAGCAAAACCCAAAATTAGAAATTCTCCATTGCATTTCGTGTCTGCCTGTTGCTAATTCATGTCAGGTCCAAACCAAATTCACGTCCGTCAATGGCCAGAGTCCGGATAATATGCCGTATGACCCCAAGGCCTCGGTGACTGATCAGGTCCATGCGTCTATCAAGTCGTCGCTGCATAATTTCCGGCCGCTAGGCACGGCAGATAGTGTGAACGACGCATACATTGACATGCTCATTCTGCATTCACCGCTGCCGACGATGTCTCAGACATTGGAGGCTTGGTCCGCGGTTGAGAGCTATGTTCCTCACCAGATCCGTAGCCTGGGTATATCCAACACGACTCTGTCCATCTTGAAGGAGCTGTTTGGCCAAGCAAGGGTAAAGCCTGCTGTGGTTCAGAACCGATTCTATGCCGACACGCAATACGATGTTCCCTTGAGGGCCTTTTGCCGGGAGAACCAAATCATTTACCAGAGCTTCTGGACGCTATCGGCAAATCCAGGATTAATTCGCTCGGATGCTGTTCAGCTGCTTGCCCACGAAGCAGATATCTCGCCAGCTGCAGCACTTTACTGTCTTGTTCTAGGACTGGGACACACTACGGTGTTGGACGGTACAACCAAGCGCCATCATATGGAGGAAGACTTGGCTGCCCTGCAGAAGATCGAGCGGTTTACGGAGGATCAGCCAGACCTGTGGCAGAGAATACTGAAACGCTTCCGGCAGTTAACTGGTGACCAGCTGGTGGAATAGACTGATTCTCTTGATGGTGAAGTCTTTGATTGCTTTCATCCTGTACATCTGTGCTTGGCTTTCTGCAGCCCCCAGATGTTTGGCTAGGGAAAAATTTGAAGCGTCAGAAATCGATAGAAGCATCGTGAAACCTCTGGAAGGAAAACAGGTTTTGGATCAGACCGTCCGAAGAAATGGGCCAAGTCGATGCCGCAAAGATTAGCGGGTGGTGATTGGACAATGGGGCAGTGGGGAGCTTGCCGTCCCGAAGGGAGCCAACCTCACTAGCAAGTACTTAGTAGAAGTCATAACAGTAGCGTGGTCAGCAGCGATGGTTGCCGTTGACAATGATTGCTGCCCGTAAGTGAGAACAAAGTCTTTGACGCCCAGGAGGGATACTAGAGTGAATAACAACGGAAAACTGCGAATCGCGACTGAGACGCCCTCGTCCACGTGCCGTACGCTGAGTCAGCCATTGGCCAATCACGACTCACCGCCGAGGTTTGAGATCATCACCGCCCGCCAAGCATCTCAAGTTCCCGAGTTTGCTGGCGGTGACCAGACGCCGTTGCCTGTCCTGAGCCCCCTCAGATCCAACTCCATCGCTTCATCCCGTTCTCCGTCGCGCTCATTCTTCTTCACCTCCCGTGGTGGAAGGCTTTGTTTCTTCTGCGCTTTGTGCCTGCCTTTGTTGCGCCGGCTCGGTTGTATCTCTCAACCCACCTTCGGCCCCAGAGCCTTCCCGTGTTAAATAGGCTCTGTCGAATCTCCATCGCCAGCCTCGTTTCGCTCAAGTAATTCGGAGTCAGCGACTGCATCGCATTCAGACGCATATTTTCGGTCCGGCATAGAATTGCCGTCTTCGCAGATTGCCTGACGCCCGCCTTACATTCGATTCTTGCTACTACGCCTAGCGTCTGCGGCGGCGCCGTCGCGTCTCCGCCATTGACACTTGCGCCTGCAGTCCCACGCTCTCTCCGCTGCTGAGCGCTCTTCATCCTTCTGAGTGCTATCGCCCTGGACGTCTCTAAGAATCACGACGTTGATGACAAGTTCCCCTCCTCATAATCGGATTGCCCGTGCCAACTAAGGCCTTCCGCTCACCCCGCCATTTACCCGACCGACTAAGTGCTTCTCTCGTCTCTCGCCCAATCGCCGTTATTCTTCCTTCCCTCCTAGTGGACGACCCTAAGCCATCGTATACGCGACTTTACTCGCCCCTTAGAACGTCTTTGCTCTTTACCGACCGTTGGTTTTATCGCCTGTGATGAGTCCTCAAGGAATTACCCGCAAGAGACCTGCGCCTGGCACATCCCCGATCGTCCATCCTCAGCTGGGCCCATTACCCAATTACCCTCAGAACCCCGGAAACCAACTCTCTAACGACCAGTTTCTGCAATGGGGTCAGACCTCCTCGAACGTGTCCAGTCCCTCCTTCCCTGATTCCAACCCCTACAGCGCTGCTGCCTACACATCCAGCCCGGACGTGCCTGCGGCCAACGTTACTGCTGCTGCTCCGGGGCAGCTTGCGCGTCGTCAAACCCCAACTCAACTGGTGAATCGCGGTCGAGGATATGAACAAACCCCACCGTTCGATCATAGTACTGGGACTGGAGAAAATGGGGGATGGGGGGAGAGTCTGGAGGACCTATACAAGCGCGCGATGGTTGCGAAGAGGGAGGCGCAGGCCAAGCGGAAGCAGATCCCTCCATTTGTGCAAAAGCTGAGCAGGTAGGTCGACCGACTGACAGGAACGAATGAACAATTACTAACTGCAGTGTAGTTTTCTGGACGAGTCGAAGAACACTGAACTTATCCGATGGTCTGATGATGGAAACTCTTTCATCGTGATGGATGAAGATGAGTTTGCGAAGACCCTCATTCCGGAGCTGTTCAAACACAACAACTACGCCTCTTTCGTTCGGCAGCTAAACATGTACGGCTTTCACAAGAAGGTTGGGCTGTCGGACAATTCGATGCGTGCTAGCGAGCGGAAGAACAAGAGCCCGAGCGAATACGCCAACCCCTACTTCAAGCGCGGGCATCCTGACCTGCTATGGTTGATTCAGAAGCCCAAGAACACGGCGGGCCAGGGTAGCAAGTCTGGGAAAGCAAACGTGCGTGTGAAGACCGAGGAAGCGGAGGACCAGGACCACGACGACTACGGGGATGATGGCATTGGATCTCGAGATGATCGTGCGCGCAACCGCCAATTGTCCCTCATCACGAACAATGTCATGCCCAAAGACCAACTGGCAGGCGTGTATCGAGAATTGCAAGCTATTCGGCAGCAACAACAGATCATTTCCAACACCATCAGCAAACTACGGCGCGAGCACGAGCAACTGTACGCGCAGGCGGCCAATTTCCAGGAGCAGCATACGCGGCACGAGAACTCGATAAATGCTATCCTCACTTTCCTAGCAACTGTCTACAACCGCAGTCTGCAAGGACAGGAGGGACCGCAGAATCTGGCGAACTCGTTCGCGGGAGCTATTTCCCAAGATCAAGGTAACGTCGTCGACATGGGGGACGATTATACGCTGAGCACCCTGGGTGCATCCAATCTGAATAGCCCTGGTGGACAACGGTCAATGAAGAAGCAACCCCTCTTGCTGAAAGCCCCCCCCGGGGCTGACCGGCAGAGCCGTGCGACAACATTGTCCCCTGCTGCCGCCGCCTATGACCGCTCACAACCACGTGGCCATGGCCGGCAGCCGAGTGCGTCGCAACCCGGCCATGTCGAGGAGGTGTTTGACACAAGCCCGCAGCAAAAGGAGACGGCGGTGCCAGCGAATCAACAGTTCCCACAACGGGACATTATGTCGGTAATTCAGAGTTCCAATGCACGCAACGGCATGCCAACGACGTTCGCCGACTTCCCTAATGTGCTGTCATCCCTCGAAACATCCGGAGGAAACTCGCCACTCACCCCCAACCAGCGTGCAGATATGCTCCGTCTCATGGCCAACGAGAGCAATTCCAGCGGCACCAGCCCACCGGTGTCTCAAAATAACGCGCTGATGACCCCGACGCCACCGCCGATGCCACACAATTACTCGGGGCGGCTGGCCAATACCCGCGCGGAGATCGACAACCTGGTGAAGATGCAAGCGGAGCAAGACCGTTCCGTGCAGAACCTGACCAACCTGCTTCAACCCTTGAGCCCTACGGGCACCATCCCTGGCATTGGCACTGATGGCAGCGTCCCCCCTCCCCCACTAAACCTTGATGAGATCTTCACCAACGACTACTTCACGGACATTGGAGACCTGGAACATAATAAAAACAGCTTAGATTTCGGCGACTCGTCGCACTCGGTGCCGGTCACAACATCAGCCGACCCAACGGCGACGACCGGTCCCGAGGACGGCGTGATCAAGGATGCCACCGAGCTGTTCGATTTCGACCAGATCCCAGCAGAGGGTGATATCTTCAGCGGAGCCAACCCGCAGTCGACGACCGGGTACTACAACGGATATGACGGCAGCGGTTATGGAACCAACGCAATGAGCTCGGGAGTCGGCGCGGATGCGCAAATCCCCATCAACCACGAGACAAATCGCATCGAGGCACTTCCAGACAGCGAGAGCACCAGCCCGGCCAACACGGTGGATGATGGCTTGCAGTATGGCGGGTCCGAAACTAACGATTCTCAGGGAGGTAAGGGCAATGGCGGCGGCGCGAAGCGGCGCAAGAAGGCTTGATTTTTTTATTATTTTCATTCTGCTTGATGACATTACTAACGGGGCTGTGTGTCTGCGGAAGGCAATATCAAGAGCCAACCTTGGAACTACGAATACGAATAAAAGCTTAAACTTTACATACCTTGTCTTGCTGCCTTTTTCTTTAATCGAGCTGATCTGATAATCAGGTATATCGCTGCATATATTCCCCATACCCTTGCCCTTCTTCTCCTCTACCCACCTACAGACCCCTTCCCCTTGAACTCGTCAATCCCTTGATGTCTCTTTCCCCTCTTCTCCTGCCTGATTTCAAACAACAGATCAAGACATCACATCACAGTTCGGTTGACTGATTGATTGGATTGGTTGGATGATTGAAATTCACGCTTTTCTTAATTGACTGACGGCCTCACAAAAGACAAAAAAGCAATCATCATACATACATACCCTTATCAAACACACTATTCCCCTTCGCAACTCCCCTTCGCCTAATCATCTGGTTTCATTTATCTTACATTCCTCTTCCCTCCCGTACACGAAAGCATGCTTCTACACATACCACGATTCTAATGATAGCGGCGCACGTTTTGTTCCTAGTATGAATTAAAATAAAATGACATTAGGTTCTCCTCTCTTGCTCCTTCTTGCTTCGCTTTCCCCGCTGGTTAGGGTTGAATTTCGTGTGTCCTGTCTACATTGCTGGCTTGTTACTGACGGTAGTTGTGGATTAATTAGGAGTGGATGTATGTTTTGAGTTGTATTGACGTTTATCCTCTCGGTTGATTCCGATATAATATGTAGAAGTAGTATAGGATATAGTATAGTATGTATGCTACACATCAATTGATCAATATCAACGAGTGAAAAGTTACTTCCTCCCCTTCTCCCACTCCAAATCTCCCACCCTCCCTCTCTTCCTATCCCTCTCACGATCCCGTTCCATCATCCCCCTCTTCTTCCTCCCAGACCCGGACCCGGACGCAACAATATCCTTCTCCTTCTCCCGCGGATCAATCACCATTAAGCTATCCACGTCGTCCGGATGCTCTTTCTTCCATTTCAGATCCTTGCCCAGCGTATCTTTCCCGAAGCGGAGCTGGTGCGTTAACCAGCCTTGGTCTGTGTCGTCGCCTAATTGGTTGTCTTCATTGCCTTCGGCGGCATCAGTGCCGGCTGCGTTGTTGTCAGACCAGGATTTGCATGATTGGCAGTTCACGATGAAGTGGAGATCGCAGAGTTGGGATTCCTCGTCTTCCTCGTCTTCTTCCTTCTCTGTTTGGGGTTTGGGTTGGGGTTGTTTGCTGGTCGTAGTGGTGGTGGTAGGGGCAGTGTCCGCGTTTTCGAGTTTCGCTTTGAAAGCGTTGAACATCTTCAGTGCGGCGTTGTCGCTGGTACTAGAGAAGCCCGTTATGCCGTTGCTGGCGCTGGTACTTGCTGAGGATCCGGGTGGTGGGCGTCTGCGGCCGCGGATGGCTGTTTGAGGGATCATGGCTTCCAAGGCGGACTTCTTGCGTCCTGTATCTGACTCCGTGGTTACGGTGCGGCGCATGGACGCTTTCAGGGATTCGATCTCCGCGTTGGTTCGCTCGAGTTTGGACTTTTGTGCTGGCTGTTCTTCTGGGCTGGGAGAGCGCTCGGGAGACTCAGGATCGCGCAGAGGAAGTTGCGTCGCTGGGTCGGGACTCTTGGGTCGGTCAATGGGTGGAGGGGTGGGCGATGCGCGCTTGCGCGGTGGTGGTGAGGGTGACGTCTTCCTTGCCTTGACCTTCTCCTTCTTCTTTTCTGCTGGCGCATCGCCGCTCCCAGCTGTATTATCCGTCACCAGTGCAGCATTATATTTCGGTTTCGCCGGCCTGACAGGCATCTCCTCACCCTCTTCACCCTCATCATCACCAAAGCTGAGCAGCGTCTTCCCTCCCTTCGCCTTTCCCTTCTTCTTCGCCTGCGCTGCCTTCTTCCCACCCTTCGCTTCACCCCCAGCCCCAGCAGCAGTCGCAGAACTTCTCGCCGTCAAATCCCTCTTCACAATCTTCCCCTCCAACGGCCCCAACTCCCCCACCTCACACCCGGTAACCCTAATGGGATAAACCGGCCGCTCGGTCCCCTCGACCACCTCTCCCTCCGCAATCTTCAACACATTATAGATACTATCTCCCTCGATCCTCCCAAACAACGTACACTGCCCATTCAACTCCCGACTCGCATCCCCCAATGTAATGAAGAACTGACTCCCGTAGCTCCCGTCCTCGGCTTTCGCCATCCCAACCAATCCACGCCGATTGAATCGTAACCGGCTGTGCAGTTCATCGCGCAGGACTACTTTCTCGTTCGGATCGCGCGCTGTCGGGTCGTATTCGAATTCGGGTTCCTCGTAGATGCTTGTTCCGCCTGAGCCGGTACCGGTTGGGTCGCCGCCTTGGAGAATGAAGTTGGGGATGATTCGGTGGAAGATTGTCCCTGTGTAGTAGTTGTCTTGGATGTGTTGGAGGAAGTTGCGGCATGTTAGGGGCGTTTGGGAGGCGAAGAGCGCGATGTGTAGGGGTCCTAGGGTTGTGTGCAGGGTTGCGGAGGCGGTGGCGGTGGGTTCGGTGTTGTAGTGTGTCGACATTTTGGTTCAAGAGCGCGCGGAGGCGTGCAGGTGTGAGGGTGTGAGGGTGGTAGTTGTTTGGTGGTAGTAATAAGTGGCAGCTGAGCTGCGCGATTGGGGAGATCCGTGTAGGTAGGTGGATAGGTGGTAGTTGTTGAATTGATAGGGAGGGCTAATTCAATTCATTAAATTCAAGTAGGAGGTGACGACCCGAAGTAGGGTCCGTGGTGCGAGGGAGCGCGTGCGGAGGTGAAGTCGGAGATGAAGTTGAAGCAGTTGGAAATTTGCGTGGGTCACGCACGTCATGTCGCGCCGGCGCGGCGGTAGTATTAATAGCGTAGCTCCCCTCCCCTTGATTTACTCTACAACAAACCTCCTACTTTCAACCACTGCTGCTGCTGACTCTCAATGTGAGCATAACTGACTATATTAATTTAGTATCAATAGTTCATTATGGATCTACATCATTGAAAAATCACAACCCATAAACATCTTCAAAACACTTGGCCGTATCAGGACAACTAACACCAGTCAGCAAACACATCACCCCAAGCAGTGACAAACATGAATTCGACTTACTATACAGCCTCCCTCCCAAAAATAACATGCCACAATGACCCCATCACCTGCTCAATCTCCTCATCCTTCAACTTCGTCTCCATCACCCACTGCTGATACCTCATATACTCCTCCCTGGGCCGCTTGTGCACCTGCTCCCTCGACACCGCAAACTGCCCACAATACGGCGTCGCAATCTTCTCCGGCACATCAGTGCTATTGAAGACCGTCTTCCAGATGACCGGATACTCCTGTTCAATCGTTGTGACTTGCGCACTAGTCTCGTTGGCATCGGAAACCGGTCGAATCACGTTCCCGCACTCGTCATTTGAACTGGACCCAGCACTACTGGTAGTAGTACAGCGGAGGTTAGCGAACCCGTTCTTCTGCACAAATTCGCGTCGGAGTAAAGTAACGGCTGCCACGTTCCCGTAGTCGCGGAACTCGGTGTGACCCGGTTTGCGGTGGTTGTGCAGGAACACAATGGTCGCGGGCAGATGGTGGTAGTGGTCGATGATGTATTGGAGATAGACGGTGCTGGCTTTGCCTTTGTTTTTGGGGATGCTCAGGGGGTGGCGCCGGTCGTCGCGCGTGTAGATTGCGTGGCGCCAGCTGGAATTGTCAGTGGTGATACAAGAAGGAATGGATGAAGTGTAGGGGGGGTGAGCGCTCACTCAGGCAATTCATCGATGAGCCAGTCAGGTCTTTCGAACTTGAGTCGCCCGACGACAATGACGCCGTCAATCGGTGTTTGCGTCGTGTCCAGCATATTGTCGATGGCCCATTGAGGGGATGCAGTATCCTTCTGGTACGAAGGGAGGAGGTCCGTTATCGAAGGACGCTTCTTCCCACCGACTGATGGGAAGGGCGTGGCTGAAGGCGTGAGCGAGATGTCTGCAATATCCGGCTGTATAGACTGCGTAGGTTTGCTAGATTGATATTCATCCTCCAAAGGATTTGTTTCAGGGATAACCTCCTGCTGTTGCTGGACTGCGCTCACTTGCGATCCGACCCAGAGCACAGTGAGGACCAACAGAGCGGCCATCGTTAAGCGGATAAGGACCTGCATGGTCGAGTAGATGCTGGGCCTGTAAGGCTGGCTGCGGGTGTCGCGTTCGCGGGCTGGAGAGCGCACCGTAGTCCCTCATGGAGATTGACTGTAGATGTGTCTGGAGTGGTAGTCGTAAGGAGAGACGAGTGTCTCGTCGTCGAAGAAACTTTGCGATTGTATCCAGAACAGCCGAGGTCATGATGTAACGGCTTAGGTGTCGCGATGGCGGGCCTCCCCCGTGGTGGAACCAAAAGTGCATCCATCCATGGTTCAGGGTGTTCGTCGCATCCAGGCCTCGAGCCAATTTTTGATGCAATCTACTTTGACAATGTGGTTACCGGAAATGAACCGGTTCAGCTATTGACAAAGAGTCCGAGGTGGAAGAGAAAGTAGCTACGTAGAATATTTGGTGCGGCGCAGAATATTGGAAAGACGGCAGCGTCAACTTGGTAGAATATCATAACGACTGTAGTGCTAATGTAGGCTCATTACAACTCGGACCAGGATCCCGATACGAAGCCAGCTATTGGTGGAAAAGTAGCATAAAAAGACTGGAAATCACGATGCTCCAGCCATCATAAAATCATCACTCATCCAAACTCATCAAGAATACATGCTCACTGCTTTTAGTCTCCCTTAAGAGGTCTTGTCTTCCTCGTCGGCAGCTGCGTTCTGTGCAACTGCGCCTTTCTTGGTAATGCGGAATCCTCCCACGAGAAGGAGGAGCGCTTCTGCACCAAGAATGACCGCCAAAGTTACCATTGCACCGATAACACCCGCTACCGGCCGGGAGATACCGCTGCTTGACTTCTGCTGAGGCGTAGAAGTAGAGGTAGTGTTGGAGCTGGTCGAGTAAGACGCACATTGACCATCGGTGTTACCACATACTTGGCACCACTGCGACTGCGATGTGACGGCAATCTCGCTGCTCAGACGCTCAAAGTCGGACCAGGGGATGGTGGCACTTGACCGGCCGTAAAGTGGATACTCAGTAGGGCTATCGTTCTTTGACTCATTGAGTGTACCGTTATGGAAGACGAATCGCACACTGATGTCGGAAGTGGAAGGAAATTCACTTGAGGTTGAGTTCGTCACCAGTTCCCATGCCATAGATGAAGCATAGTCGGGGATCCCAGTGAAGTTGACGTCCGCAGCAGGAAGTTGTGCCAGACCAAAGTAGGAGAGGAACGTGCCGTAGGAGCCGAACTGAAAATTCAGCTTGGTTTTCCCCTTGGACGTGATCGTTTTGTTCAAGCCTTGAAGAACATCACCTGCCAGCATGGCACCTGCTACGGCACGGACGGGCTCAGACGAGTTGTAAGCTAGGTTGTATTGTTCAATGTTAGCCAGCAGGAAGGCCTGGTGGAGCTGCTCTGCTGTTGGGACATTGGTGGTATTGTGAATGGAACCGACATTGAGATAGTCAAATATGGTGTAAGCATTCTTGAAGCTCATTGAGGACTCGGAGAAGGTACTGTTCAATAGCGACGAAAGCGATTGATAGAAATCGGTGGTAGAATTAAGAAGTGAATTATACAATGACGAGCTGTAGTAGTTGTTGCTGCTGACTTCCGCATTCTGACAATTGGTCGCACTCTGCAGCCAGGTGGTGTCCTCGCTGTTTGATCCCGAGTCGGTCACGGACAAGGGGATCAGCTGGTACCCATCCAGGGGAGAGTCGACGACTGTTCCATCAGCCAAGGTCTCGTTGGCTGACGAGCCGACAGGCGGATAGACTCCTTGCAAAAATCCTGTGGCAGAATTCTGCAGCACATCGTCAGACGGGGTAGAGGCACTGATCTGGCTCAGCTTGACAATGTCTTCACTGATATTTTGGATCTGCAGAGAGGAGTCCGAATCAATGTAGCGGCTCCGCCAGTAGGTACCAGTGGTATAGACCTCACGGTAACCCAGATCGGTCAACTCCGTATTCTTCAGCACCTTAGCAGTGCGGTCTCCATGCCGAGCAAAGATGTAAGCACCTAGCACCTTCTCAGCCGACGCTGGAAGGGCCAGAGACATGGCCATCAAGGCCAGACAGAGACCAGAAGATTGCGAAGAAGTGCGCATGATGAGCCAAGCGTGGTGTCGCTGGGAGGAGAAGTGAGGGGAAGTAGCAGACTATCTATAAAGGGCGCAAAGACATGCATGCATGGGGAGATTCAGAAGAGACCCCGCGGAGAAGGTTCTTATCATGATGACTCGCCCATGGCGGGGTCCGCGAGAGGATTTCCCGGAAGGACAGGATTGGGAGAGGGAAAGAAGGACCGACAGGGTTGAGCCAGTCTAGACCCGGATGCAGATGGAGGCAATCCGTGGGCGAATCGTTGGGCTGGTTGGCTTGGATAGTCTGTCTTGGCTGTAGCCGGTCTCTTGGCTGTCACGAAGAGTCAACAAAAGAGACATTAAAGGTGATTGACTTTGATAAAAGAAATCAAGCATACACTAGATAAGAGATAGTATATGTCAAGATGGGTATCGAGATGGAAAGTCAATGGATGTCTCAGAGGTGGTTTTTGGGGAGTCATTCTTCCCCCCGACCCTAAGCTGTTCTCAAATGCCGCCGAGAAGCAAAACAGGGCTCTTCCCCACTTTTGACTTTTGGAGTCCCTGCAGGATAGGGCGGAGATGTTGACCAATGATTTCACACTTGCAAAATACTGAAGATTAGATTCCGAGTGGCATCACATGACTGCAGTTGTATGATATTTCTTTGCCCATTTATTATTACGAACATGCTAATTCATATGTCTTTCTTGGGTCTAACATTGAGTGAGGATTGACTTGTAGGGCTTAAGCTCCGCGTGTCTCTAAATCATGATCAATATATATCCTACTGAACTAGCTATGATATTCATGGAATTAACATCTCATCTAGTATTCTCTAGTTTTCACCCTCGCACTAGATGATTATACTCCTTTGCTGATACTGCAGGCACTGAAGACCTATAATAAGTCAGTAGTAATCTCTGTTCTGCGCTTGGTCCTATCTCTTTCACTAACATCCTTATATAGGCGACGACTAACCGAAGTACCAAGTGGATCATCATGGTTTCTCGCTACCATGTGGCACTTGAACTATTCCTTCTATATACGCCAAACTGCGAGTTGCGCAGCTCTCCATACCATGGACCAAAGCATTGCTATCGACCTGGTAATTGCGACTATAGCATGTGCTGAGCACCTGGATCTATACAACGAAACCCATGGAGGCATGCTTCAACACCTTTAGCCGTTCCGACAAACTTGAAATCTTCATCCAGATTTTGCGTTATATCTGCTTCTCATTACTTTGGGGAATTCCTACGGGAAAATAACTACTCTGGATATTGGCGATCTCTTCCACTGCCCCACAGCGTGGGATATTATCCTATGGGAAGCTCGGAAAATAGCCCGGAAAAGCATCCGGATACCCTACTACTACTTTTCCGACAACGTCATTATTTATACGCGATCTATATTCTTCTGTCTCGAAGAATTGTTACCTCAAAATGGACGATGTTTATATCATTACTACCTCCACATAGTTGCTCAAACATACACTTCCCATCGTTCGCACTCTCATTTACTGTGGCCCTTCTACTCTTTCCAACAAGTCACCTACTATAAAACATCGGTTTTTTTCAAAAATGGCATTAGGT